TCAAAAAATAATGCATAATTACATTTTGTGATAGTGTCTGCCCAGGACAAGATGAAATTTCACAAGGTCTACAGAAAAACAAAAATAGGCATCTCTTATTCAGATTAATACACAGATCAAAAATTGGACTAAGACTTATGAAAGGGATTATAAAGTTATTACTAGTACATGACATTTCTATTTGTAAAGAATAACAGAAACAGGGCTGGGGAATTAGTTCAGTGGTTCTGCCCCCTGCCTTGCAATCTCAGTCCTGAGTTCAATCCCCAGTACCAAAAAAAAAAAAAAAAAAAAAAGAACAGCAGAAACATTGGTAGATGAGGTGTGGGACCAATAAGCCAAGTAGATTTTTTTTTCTTTCACTACACAAAAGCATGTGTTGCTTTCAAAATCCAAACAAGAACCTGTCAGATATGTTTTTGTTGGTGGTGGTCAAAGATGAGAGAAAAAACTGATGTATCTTTGAATGAAAACTTAATTTGGGGAAAAATGAGCTGCTTATACAGGAATCTGACTGATTCAGTTGCTGGCCATTTTATACATCTGGTGGGGGAGACCAATAATCAGGCCATGTCTAATATACTTCAATAAATAGTTGAATTTATCCAAGCAGAATCCCAGCAATGTACATGTGCTTTAGACAGACACAATAATGAACACCATAAGATGAAATTATAACATTTTACTAAACGGTTCATCATTTCATTATTTTTATTTCATTCCTTAATACTGCTAGGAGTATTGTAATCATAGTTGTAATAGTATTGTAATCCATAATAATTATGGAAAGCTGACATTCTCAACAATTTCATAAAGTATGCAATCAGTTATTCCACATATTAAAGTATTGAGTGAGAAAACTATGTACCTCACTCATTCAACACTAGGTGAAGGCTGAGATATTGGATGACATGGTGAACATTACCAGAATGATTCAGTGTGCAATGCATGCCCTGTGTTATTTGAAATCCTAAATATTTAACATGCTGTAAACAAATCTGGGCTTTCTTCCATGATTCCTTATATACAGTTCCTTTCCAGCACCGCTCTTGGGTTGGGCTGCATAACACTAAATCATCCACATACTGCAGCAGAACACAGCTATATTGTTCCATGGGGGGCAAACAAGTCCTTGGCTAGCACTTCCCCAAAAAGCATGGGTGAGTTTTTAAATCCTTGTGGCAGTCTGGTCCAAGTAGACTGAGTCTTTTTCCCATCATTTGGGTCCTGCCATTCAAATGCAAAGATGGGTTGACTAAGGGGAGCAATGCGAAGGCAAAAGAAGGCATCTTTTAAGTCCAAACAAGTAAACCATCCTGCCTCTGAGGGTAATAGACCCAGAAAAGTACAAGGATCAGGGACCACTGGGTGCAGTGTTACTGTTCTGTCATTTACAGCCCGTAGATCTTGCACTGGCCTATAGTCCCCATCAAGTTTTTGAACTGGCAGCAAAGGGGTGTTCCAAGGTGACTTACATTTTCTTATAAGTCCAAATTCCTTTAATTTCATGATAGGGCCTGATTTCAATTTGAGCTTGCCTGGGACATCAGATATTGTTTTACAGCAATGGGGGCCTAATGGTCTTTTAATTCTATAACTATGGGTGAATGATTCTTAGCTAAGCCTGGGGGCGATTCCAGTGCTCATACTCCAGGAAACAGTTTTTAATTTTTGTGGAGACTGGCAAACATCCTCCACATTGTAACATTATCATTCATCCTCCCGTTTAGTAGTTACCATCCTGATGAGATCTCTTCCTGGGTCTAAATGCAGAGACGCATTTCCTGGTTGGGTGAAAGTTATTGCAGCTGCCAGTTTGGATAATAAATCTCTTCCTAGTAAGGGGATTGGACATTCTGTCATGTACAAGAATTCATGTTTCACTTTATGTCCTCCAATTTCACATGTCATTTTGTAGCAGAACTGGTGCTTTTCTGAAATTCCAGTGGCATCAATCACTTGGATGCGCTTTCTGCTCAGAGGGGTGACTGGTGCTGTTACTACTGAATGTTCTGCCCCACTGTTCACCATTAAGGACATATTTTGGCCCCCATCTTTACATCGACCATGGGCTCATGGGGACCTAGCTACATTGAGCCCGGTCTGTGTCAGTCACTGTCTTCCATCACAGGCAACAATGTGCCAGGATCCTTTTTTTCCTTCAAGTCATGTTTTTTCTTTTCCTTGAGCCTTGGGCACTTATTCTTACAATGTCCTTTCTCTTTACAATACGCACACTGGTCAAACTCTAAGTCTTTACACCTAAAGCCTTTCTTTCGCTTTCCCTCTGGTTTCATTCCCTTTCTTTCTCTTTCTCTTTCTTGGCTCCCATAGCCACTGCTCTCCTCTTATCTTGCTCATCTTCCCTCCTTGCTCACTCTCTCTCTCTCACTGACTCTCTGTTCACTTACACTTTCCTAGCTAATTGCAATAATTGCATTATATTCATGCCTTCCCAAGTCTCTTGCTTCTGTATTTTCCTTCCAATATCTGGAGCTGACTGAGTTACAAAGGTCATATTGAGTACCTGATGGTTATCTGGAACAGCAGGGTCAAATGGTGTATACATTCTGTAGACCTCACAAACCCACTCATAAAATTTCTCAGGGGTCTCGTCAGGCTCCTGCTGAGTCTCTGACACTTTAACCATGTTTGTAGGTCTTTTACTTGCAGCTCGTATCCCTGCCAAATGGTCCGTTCAATAATTTCTTAAGCTGTCCTGGTCTACTGGGGTACTGGGATTCTAATCAGGCTGCATATTTACTGAAAAATTCTGTTCATGCCAAGCATCTGGATTTTGCATGTCTCCCACCATTCTAGGGGCATTAATCTTTTTAATTTCTCCTAAAACTCTCTGCATTTTTTAGGGGTTAACAAAGTTCTACAAAGTTTTTTGCAGTCCTCCCAATTAGGAAAATGGGTAGCAAAGATGGAATCAAATAATTGAAGCATTTTGGAGGGGTCTTGGCAGAGAATAAATGACATTTTTCTCTGGATCTACCCTCCTTTTGTCCTTTTTAAAGTCAAATCTCTGTTACATCTTGGTCAGACATATTTGTGCCTTTTTGTGTGTGTGTTCATTTGTACCTTTTCCCAACAGTTTTTTTTAACTCACTATAAAGGAGGAGGTCATATTGTAACCTGTTGGCTCTAAAACTCTTTGAAGATGACCAATGTACACATATTAGTAACATACTTAGAATTTCACCCTTTGATGACAATCAATGTAAACATATTTAAATTTTTCATAACAAACTTGAAACCAACAGACAAGTGTACATATTTTTTGATAAATCACTGTTGTACATCTTTTGACATACCTAAACCTTCTGGTCTTGTATATCTCTTTTATCTTTCTAACAAGGCAAACATTCAAAATTTCTTACATCAAAATTGCATCTCTTTTACTTATAGCTTTTTAATATTTTTTTATCTCACTATAGGCCTTTTGTCATAAATTTGTCTTTAGCTGTTAAAATTTTTAAAGTGTCCTTTTTTTTTGTTCTCAGATTGTTACACTTTAATTTTGGTTGGCTGACAATAGAATGGTAGTGACTTTGAGTTTTTTATCAACAAAGTACAGAAAAGAGCAAGTTAACCCTATAATTACAATTGAAGAAGTTACAATGTACAAGAAATATTTTAAGCACACCAATTAAACATCAATTCAAACTGAAACACAGATACATTTATCAATTAGCTAAAATTTGTAACTTGACTTCTCTTGTCAAATTTCTCTCTTCCTCTGGCTTTGTTTTATGCCCTTCAGAGCTTTCTTAGCTGTTTTAATCCATTACTTATTTTCTCTTTTCAATTCTTTTTTTCAATTTAAGTGCAAGCCCTATTTGATCCTTTCTGAGTCTGACCACAGCATGCACCCTCAGGTGCACTAAAGTCAAGCAGTTCTCATGCTTTTGTCCCCACCTCCTCTGCACCTGTGAATTTAGCAACACAAAAGGAGGGGGAAAGTCTAAATTTTCTTGGCCCAAATCTGAAAGGACCAGTTTGTTTCCAGCATCATCCTCTTTCTGATGGAGGACTAAGATATTGTTTTTTGCGTCCAGGGTGCACATATGAAGCCAAGGAGGCATTCTGTGGCACAATTTGAGGCATAAATCAATATAGGGAAGTTGATCTGGATGTTCCCATCCAGGGGTGGTGACTGTTAGCCAGATGGACCAAAGGAGACCCTCACCTAGGGATCTCTCAGTTGGCCCAGTTGGGCAAAGCTCTAATTCACAAAAGACTCTAAGTTTTGGGAGTTTTATCTTAATACCATAATTTCCAGTAAAACCTTTCTTAAAATTCTTAAGCATGCATTCCAAAACAGTAGGATGAGATATTTCTGTCCCCATGATGGACTGATCAGAGTGTTGGTGTGTGGATGGGTACCCTTGTATGGAGACGCAAGACAGACAAAGGTAGGGGATCACTTGCTTGCCTGCCTGGCTGTGGGCCTCTCAGCCACTTTAAGGTCTGTTCAGGCTAAGGTAGGCTGTTGCTTAAACCCACTGTTGTGCCTTTGTTAAATGCAACTACAGAATCACGGGACAGACTGCATGCAAGCTCCGCAACTCAGGGAAGGATCTTTGAGCATAAATACCCCCTCCCTTTGTCTTGGAACATGGACAAGACCACCTATAAAGTTTCACAGCTCATTATATTCACTCTCCTAGCCAAGATTCTTTCATTCACTCATTTATTCAGAGGTTATTACATTCCCTCCCAGTGGCCCCCTAACCATAACCAAAACAAATGGGAAGAGCTGCCTCCCCAAATGGCAAAGTGCAAGGGGTGATCGAGACCCTGCTCTATGTTTGCCTAAAGTTCACAAAGTGAACCAAAACAAATGGGAGGAGTTACCTCCCCAAATGGCAAAGCACAAGGGATGATCAGGCCCCTGAGCTGTATTTGCCCAAAGTTCCAAAATACAAATTCACAAAGAGAAAACAAACAAAACCAAAAATTAACAATTAGGGGGATTTCCAGGGGTTTCTCACCCAGAAAAGGAAAGTGATAGATGAGACACCAACAGCAGCAGCCCTCCTTCTGCTGTCTTCTGTCTCAGGTTCGGGCTATCTGCCACTGGTGGGCGGGTCTCTGTGTCCTGTTGGGGAACCTGGAAATTAGTGGCAGGAGTGCACCATTCCCCTTGAGGAGGTGGAGAGCTGCTTACTTGGGTGGAGTTTGGGCTGATGCCCAAAAGGGCCACTTCTTTCCCAGCTCCCGGTCAGGGAACCAAATGTTCCAGAATCACAGAAAGAAATGCACAGAGACAAAGAATTCAGGTAAAATAACAAAGGTTTTTACCTGTTAGCAAGGCAGAATTCCAGAAACTGATCTGGTCAGAGTCCCTGCCCTCCATTCTTTGTCCATCACCTTTTATACATTTGTCAATCATTATCTCATCCCTAGTGGTCTTTGTTCAGTAAATAAAGTTCCAATTCCTGTTTAATGGTTAGACACAGGTGGCTTCTGTCACTGATTACACCCCTGAACACATGACAGTTAAGGCACACACACCACAAATTTGCTCGAGGATTCTCACTTTGTTCTTCAGAGCTAGGATGTTATCTATAGTGGAGCTACAGATCGAAGGAGCTATATAACCTTCACTTTAAACAACAAAAGCAATGGGCTAAGGCAAGCATTTAAAGGGATACACTACCTACTTTGGTTTTACAACTACTTTAATAGCTAATCTACTAAACTTACTTTAAAACTTTTCCCTATCAATGTGCCACCACTCCCAGCACAGAGGAGGTGAGCTGCTTGACTGCCAGCAGCACCATCACCACCGCCCCCCAGTCGAAATGAGAAGACACGTAAACAAGCCTCAAAACCAGACTTCCAGATCACCTACAGCAATCCCAAAAGGAAACAAGATGGAACACTCTGATAATCAACCACCTGGACTTCCGTAACTGGCAACAAAAGAGGATTTGAAAAAAATAAATTCAGAAAAAAAAAATAGAACAGATGAGGCACATGATGGAATGCCAATATAGGAAACAAATTGAATCCATAAAACAGATGCAAACAGATTTCCAGGAGATTAAAAACTCCACTGAAAGTCTATGCAGCAGAATGAGCCAATGTGAAGACAGAATTTCAGACATAGAAGATAAGATTGCAATTGGTGACCAGGAAAAGAAAAATTGCTTTAAAATTGTAAGGGACCATGAGAAATCAATCCAGCAGCTACTAGATGATGAAAAGAAGAATAACACAAGACTGATCGGAATCAATGAAGAAGCAGGAGAGCGTGCAGATGACATAAAAATATGTTCACAGAAGTAATGGCAGAAAAATTCTCAAGCAGGGGAAAAGAACTAGACATACAGATAAGTGAGGCACATAGGACTCCAACTAGCCTTGATCAAAAAAATCTACACATAGGCATATAATAGTTAGGATTCCAGAAATCCAACAAAAGAACAAAGATCTACAAGCAGTTAGAGAAAAGAAACAAATCACATAGAAAGAAAAACCCATCAGAATCACAGCAGACTTCTCAATGCAAACCCTCAAGGCAAGAAGAGTTTGGAGTGATATATTCCAAGCTCTAAAGGAAAAGAGCCTCCAACCCAGGTTGATGTACCCTGCAAAACTATCTTTCAAAATTGATGGAGAAATAAGATACTTTCATAACAAAGAGGACCTTAGGAACTTCTTGAATACCAAAGCAACACTCAAAAACTTTTAGTCAAAATCCTAGGAAAAGACAAAGAGGATCACAATGCCAGGAAGCACGGCAGAATGAATCCATCAGGCACGACAAGAAATTAAACGCAAAGGGGGAGAATCTAACAAAAAGAAAAAGTCATGACCATGATAAGTCAATATGTATCAGTTGTAACCATCAATGCTGATGGTCTCAATTCACCAATCAAAAGAAACAGACTGACAGAATGAGTCAAGAAGATCCAACAATATGCTGCATACAAAAAAAAGTACTTAATTCAAAAACAAACTCATAGACTGAAACTTAAAGGGTGGAAAGCAATAATCCATGCAACAGGAACACACACAAAAAAGCAGGAGTAGCTATTCTCTTTGCAGATCAAGTGGATTTCAAACCAATACTGATTAAGAGAGACAAAGAAGGACACTAAATCCTTGTAAAGTGAAAAATCCAAGAGGAAGAGATGACAATTCTAAATGTATATAAACCAAACACTGGTGCACCCAACTATATAAAATAAATATAAACAGACATGAAAAATCAAATAACTGGACCAGGGATTTAGCTCAGTGGTTCCGGTGCCAGCCTCACAAGTGCAAGGTCCTGAGTTCAATCCCTGGTACCAAAAAAAAAAAAAAGAGAGAAAGAAAGGAAAATCAAATAACCACTAATACAATAGCAGTGGGGTACCTCAATACTCCACTGTCACAAATAGATCAACTAGATGAAAAATAAGAAATGAAATGCTAGAACTCAAAATACTCTTGAACAAATGAACTTAACAGATGTTTACAGAGCATTCCATCCCACAAAATCAGAATACACATTCTTTTCACCTGCACACAGGTCATTCTCCAAAACAGACCACATTCTCACTCATAGAATGTATTTAAGTAAATGCAAATGAGTTGAAGTTATCCCCTGTATGTTATCAGACCATAGTACAATGAAATTGGAGATCAATAGCAAAATAAACTGCAAAAATTTCATAAACACATGGAAATTGAACAACACACTTCTGAATAACCAAGGGGTCACAGAGGAAATTAAAGAAGAAATCAGGCAGTTACTACAATTAAATGACAATGATAATACAACATGTTGGAATCTATGGGACACAATGAAAGCAGTCTTACGCACGAAATTCACAGCAGTGAATACTCATATTAGGAGAACAGAACCAGCCCAATTAAACAACCTGATGCTGAACCTCAAGCTTTAGAAAAAGAAGAGCAGAACAAACCCAAATCTCATACAAGGGAAGAAATTATATAGATCAGAGCAGAAATCAATGACAGGAGACTAAGAGAACAATACAAAAAGTCAATGAAGCTAAGAGTTGGTTTTTCAAAAGAATAAACAAAATTGACAAACCCTTAGCCAACTTTATCAGAAAAAGGAAAGAAAAGGCTCAAATCCATGCAATTAGTAATGAAAAGGATGAAATTACAATGAATCCAGCAGAAATCCAGATGATCATCAATACCTACTTCAAGAACGTACAGGCCAAAAACATGGAAAACACAGAGGAAACAGACAGATTCCTAGATAAATATGAATTACCAAAGGTGAATGAAGATGACCTAAAAATTCTAAACAACCCAATATCAATGATGAAATTGAAAACATAATTAAAAACTTACCAACCAAGAAAAGCCTGGGTTCTGATGGCATCACTGCTCAATTCTAGAAGACATTTAGAGAGGAGCTACTGCCATTATTCTTTAAACTCTACAGTGAAATTGAAGGGGAAGCAATACTCCCAAAATCATTCCTGGAAGCAAACATCACCTTGATCCCCAAAGCAGAGAAAGACCCAACC